TCAATATTGAATAAATAGTAGTGATATAGTAATCAACATTATTGATAATATTAGTATATTAATCAACAAATTAAAATGATAAACTATAATTTAAACAGCTGATATACTACTAAAAATTAAACATTTGATATACCTTATAGTTAGTATAAAATCAATTGCAAATATATTTAGTATATCATAAATTAGAAGTACATGTATGCATCGGATATATATTATATGTATAATACGTACATTTGACGTAAATCAGTGGTATATCTTATAATGTATATCATGATACATCTGATACTGTATATTAGAAGTACGTCAAATGTATATCAGAATTACATCGGAGGTACATTAGATATAGATTTGATGTATATCATATACAAATTTACATCAGATGTATATCAGATATAAATTTGATGATATATAAATTGGATGTATATCGATATAGATATACATTAATGTATATCAGATATCATAAGGGTAAAATTGGAATAATAAAAAATTCGAAAATAAAAATTCAAATATTTTGTTATATTTGAAATTTTGAAAAGCGGGTGACATTTTTTGAAATACATCAAATATTTTTGCTATCCACTATAATTTTTTTTTAAAAAAAAAACGGTTCCTCGTGCATGAGTTTGTCTTATTCAACCAAAGAGAGAGATTTTTACTCTCTTGATAGATTATATATATCTTTAACTTGAGATTTCTTCCTTTTTTAGTACTAGATTTCTTAAGTGAACATTTATCCTTAACAAACCCAGACTAATGAAATGCAATAACCATGTCACAGAGTTTACAACAATTTTCATCCTAAAATATATTGAACAAAGTTAGAGATTTTTTTGGACTAGTTTGATGCGTATATTTTTAATTAAGAATGAACGCAGATAACTTTAAAACGTTTCCTAAAAAAACACTTTAAAATGTTAATTAAGGTCACTATACTTCTTAAGAACACATACTGAAATTTATTAAGAAAAAAAAAACCAAGAAATTGTTCTGAAAAACCATGAAACCATGCTCGAAACAAATGAAACGTTAAAATTCTTTCATTTTGTATTCCTACACTTTTAAATTTCAAATATTTTATTAATCATTTGACAAAACATTCGAATAATAATCCATCATAAAGCTTCACACTTCGACCAATTAAGTTGAAAACATAAGAAATCTAACAAAAGTTTATAATATAAGTGAACTACTCTTTTTATTGTCAATCGAGATGAAATTAAGCCTCATGAATATTAATACGACCCATTTAAGATATTCTTTTTTAAACAATTATATCTCTATAATTTATCGAATAAACGATGATCAGAAAGAGATGTAGTAGTAATATAGTAGGGAGGAGTTTTTCTTTATTTAGTTCCACAATGATAATGATGATATGTCCACTCTAGATATAACTGTCACAACTTTGGTTGAAGATTCCAAGTTTGAGTTATGCTAAGTGGCGAGAGTATTTGTTGGTTATTTATTAATGAATTTGCAATTGGGTATATATCCACATCACCACTCTACCATAAGAGTAGTAGGGCCATATTAATTAAAAATGGGGATTCCAGAGCAGAGGTTGGGGAAGCTAAAACTAAGAATAAATGCCTCTGAAGAAACTGCTAAAAAAAATATATGGGGAAAGTACTGAGTTCTCAGTTTGATGGACCCCATGAAAATTCCTAGCCCCAAACCACAACCAGAGCCAAGTAAGGCCAGCTAATGCATTGGCCAAATACTTTATGACCCTTTTTAAATTTCTGTGGTAACACCAAACTTTTTCTGCACACACTCAATATTATTGCTTTCTTTTCCCCCCCTTTAGCTTGGTCCCCTCCCCTTCTCCCTCTCTTTCTCTTTTACCACATATATATCTTCTCTCTTCTTCTCTTTGCCCCCTGTGATTTAATCGTTTCGATAAAGTTTAGGTTCATGAAATTTAAGGTTGGTAGTATTAAGAATATCGATATGTAGTCTCTATTTCTCTGATGACACTTATCTCAGATTAAGAGGTTGTAAGTTTTGTATTAAAAAAGGTTTGAAGTTAATATAATTGATGAGATTATTAACGATCTTATAGTTTAGGGGTAATTAAGTTCATTGGTACATTATGATTTCTGTCAACCGAATTCAAGTCATAAACCAAACATATCCCTTATGACATTTGACGAGATAGAGATTTTGTTGAGATCAAAGAAACTTTAGGTTCCTCGCTACATTACTATATTATGGTTAAATTTTTTTGGGTATGTAATTAAGCTATCAACTTTGGTCATTACTAATGTTAGATCTTTGAATGGTATCTCATGTGTTTTCAAACTAGATATCAAATTCAATATTGCACATGTGACTTATATACCATAAAGTTGAAAAATTTACATAAACAACAAGACAAAGACTAAAATAACCTCCATCACAGTAGCTATTAAATAGCTAGGTATATATTTAGTGTTAAAACAGAATCACAAAAATCCTTCTCGAAATTGGGTATCTCAAAAGTTTGATCGTGCACGTGATCAAAACGCCTGGAAGAAGAAAGAATACAAGTACTAAAGGGGGAAATTAAAATTAGGCATATTATATATCGATGAGCAAAATTATCAACAAAAAACCCCGTGTTCGGGGCGAGAATTTGGGTTTGGCTTAAGATGTCAAATTCATCCTTCTAAAATCCAGACTTCCTAAATGTGTATATTTCCAAACACAAATTTCTTAAACTTAAAGGCTTAACACACTAAATTCATATTAATCGCACACGTATATATCTGCCAACATACTTTGAGGTACACGGGTCAAATCCAGGAGTTTTGAAAAACACCCCCATCCTCTAGCAAATCATTGTTATCCAAGCTGCACTCCAAACACACAAGTTTTCTAAACCTAACTCTCAAAAGAGTAGTTAAGAGCTCGTGTATTAACATTCCTGTTTCTTATTTCTTGCTTTCAGTTTTCTTTAAGGAATCTAAGCATTCTGCGACTGGCTATGTTCCTTGTTTCTTATTTTTTTAGAACATTTTCAGAATTATATAGAAATTTTAGAAACAACCAAAACAAATTTCTTCCTCACTGTTCCTAATTCCTATTTATTTTAAAACATAAGTAAAAAGATTGTTTGACCAATACTTGAACTCATGCATGTTGAGGGTCATGTAATTCATGCTTCTTTATTAAAAATAAGAAACGAGAAACAAGCAATAAGAATGTTATCAAACGAACTCTAAGACATGGAATCCACATCCAAAGAACGGATATCGAAAAAAAGGGAAGAAAGGGAGGTAGAAGGGAGGTGAGAAAGTGAGAGTAATATCGACAAAGATTCGGAGTACTGTTAAACTGAGTAAAGATGGGTGGGTGAAGAAAGCGTGTGGGAAGTGGGTTTTGAGGTATAGTCGTGATCAGTGCATGGGGAGCTCGATTTCCTAAGTATTTCCCCTTAAAATCAGTAATCATTGTCCCTCTTCTCTCTTATCTCTTCTTCTGCTTCTGCTTTCTGCTGCCATGCAATGCAAAATCTGTATCCCAAAAGCGACACTTCTCACAAAAAACACATCCAATATTATAATCACTACTCCCAAATTAGCCCTGCCGCCCTCTTCTTTTTCTTCATTTTACCCCCTTCCCCAAGCCCCCACTCGTGTGCCATTCCATTTAATATCCGGCCATTTCCTATATATCTCTTTATGTATTTCACAAAAGTTGCAACCTTTTTCCCCCTATATTCCTCATCTGATGATCATCACACAGATCACTTTAATTACATTGATTCATTGGGATTATATTCTTCCCCCCTTTTTTTCTCTCCTGTTTTTTGTTTCCTCTTGGGTTTCCTTTGGTTCAGAAAGCTGTGAAGTTAATATCCATGTCATGATAAATATGCATTTTCAGTTTTTTTTTTTCTTTTTTTTGGTTCTTGTTTTTGCTGTCTTTGATTTCCCACTTGAATCAAAAGCAAATGAATTTCATATTAAGAACAGGGAAATCTAGGAAGGATGCATATAAGAACTTATTTGGAAGAAACACTGTCTCCTACCACATCTATATGCTTAAGACTTAAGATAAAGAAGGAGGGGGGAAGAAGAAGAAAAAATGGGGATCTGATTGTTGAAAATAAAAATGACTCATTTTCAGGTAATTGATTGATCTGAAGGCCTTATTGTATTCAAAATTATCACAGAGGTCCAGGGATATCCATCAATAGATAATCATATTTTTAAGATTTCAATCCAATATGAAAGTTTATAACAAAAAAAAAGGTTGCATTAAGGTTAAATTAAAGGGTTAGAGTATCATAAATTAATTTCTAAGATGAATACTTAAGTTAAATATCAATTTGTCAACCTGAGCTCATAAGCACCTATTTCTAACAA